GCTCGCCTAGCCAGCGGGTGGCGTAAATTGAGGCTAAAACAATGTGCATGGAAACTGCGAGCATTGTGCCCAGCAACGTTACAAACGTTTGATAGCCTGGTCAATCCAGGTGATCTTATGGATGCTTTGTTATGGATGCAATTATGAAATGTTCTGGATGAGAATCTTGAACGAACTTGAGAGTTTGCTCGGTAAAACAGAGTGCCGTCGGGGCGAAAGGCATAAAATGATTAACGGAGGGCCAGAACTGTCCATTATCTCGTTTCAGCCAAATACATATGGAACGATCATCACTGATCGTAATCACACCATCCTCTTTTGTCAACAAGAAGATCGCATTCACACGAGCCACTTGGCCTTCGATCTTATGCAATAGCACTGAAATCCATAAACTCCATTGATAATTCTAGAATATTTTTTGCGACTTCGCTTTGAAAATGAAAAAGTTTCGATTTTTCCGAGCCACATATCAGAGACAAAAATCATTTCGAGATTACGCAATGAGTGGAATTCGTTACGAAATGAAAAATCTCACAAGGAAATGTTTACTTGATACCATTCAATCTAGTCAATGATTACCAACAATTTTACTGTTTCGTGTAAAAGTTTTATGAGCATCCTTAAAATTTTATATTAAGATTCATCATTTTTGTTATTAACTATAAGATTACAAAAAATTTTATAAGTGTGCTGAAAATCTGCGAGAAGCAGTAACCACTTGGTACCTGGTTTCGCGTCACCCATACTAGTTGGCGTAGACGACCCAGGGCGAGCATTTATTACTGCTGCCATATTGCATGAACTGAAATCAAATTCGAAAAGTTATACAGTCCAAAGGATGAGTCACTCTCGAAGAAAATCACGTTTTCTCGTGATCGTTCATATATTTAATCTGATAAACTCAATTTCAATACGTTCAAGAGAATTATTTCAACGCCAATCGCGAGCTTGCAAATTAACATTATACATTCACGATTTCCATTGACACGTGTCTAGCTAGATATTTGCATTTAAAATGATTGAACAGTGCGTTATGAATAGCTAGTATGCAATACGTATTGTAGAACACTAACAGTGTTACAATATAATAAGTTCACTGTTTCAGCAATCGATTGAACAGATAATGATTGGATCCAATCAAATCAATACAATCAACAAATATAAAATGATCATTGAAAGCGTCATATCAATAAGATAGCACAAGAAAAAACAACATGAGTGCTTCCATATGTTTACTGTTTGTTTCTATGCATANTAGCAGCCAGCAGAGTGTTTCATCATGTGAAGTTTAATACCGCTATCATACGAAAGTAACGGCACCTCAGGTTTTTGAATGGGGTCAGAGGTGCTGTCTGAGGCCAGTAATTAATCTCAAAGAAGAAGGGGAACTGTTAAAAGCCAAGAGAAATTTAAAGAATCATGCGCAGACAAGGAATTAGTGGTGTAGAAATTGTGGGAAAGTTCATCAATTCCAGATGGTTGCAGTGATTTCGTGTAATGACAATTCATTGTCATCATCGGTTTTGTTCACGATATCACTTGTGCATTTTTCTTAGCGAGTGGAGTTTTCTCTACTGAACAGCTGGATTTCCTATCGTTATTCTCGTTATTNTTTTGAGTTTCGCAGTGTGGTGATTACGATAATCCCGCACGAATTATATTACGTCGTTATGTTAAGGTCGCAGTTACTCTGTCTTTAGCTAATCTTATCCACGCAACGTGATCATAACCGCACTGCTGAAGTTAATTTGAATGAGGTCAGAGGTGCTGCCTAAAGCCAGTGATTGATCGCAGTTCAGAAGAGGAAGCATCCCGGCGAAATTTCATGTCGTCGCTTCGGTCGGAATCCGACCGAATCCACATTTCAGCAGTCTGACAGTCGGAATTTCGACCGATCTTCCAAATTGTTCGGTTGGAATCCGAATATCTCAATTCTGACCGAAATTGTCGGATATTTCTGACTTAGCGTAGGTTGCATGTCATCATTAATTGGAGCTAAATCGTTGTACTGTCGTATTTTTCATTTGGCGAATGTTATGTCCACCGCGGGGTTATTGCTATCATTTTTATTCGTATTGATATTGTTGTAGTGATCGATTTGTTTACGTCTTATGTCGTGATTTTTGTGATAAATGTAAATTATTCGGTGTGAAAAAAATTAGAAAAGGATTCAGAGTTGACAATGGATCCAGCACTTTTGAAGCAACAAGCCGCATTCAAGCAACGTGCCGCTCGAGCCGTCGAATTGGCCAGTCGTAAACACGAATCCCCGTCCACGTCGCTGAGTTCACACACCACTTATGAGTAAGCTTTAAATTCTACGAGTAAGTCTTTTCGTTTATGCTTCCAGCACCTTCAGCATTCAGCATTTTTCCACTTACAATTAATATTTTCCATTTGAAGAAGAAAAGTAGTCGGTATTTTTGCTGATAACGGGTACCGCGCCGTTATCACAGATGTTCGTGTGCTCATACATTTCACACATAAGTCGAAGCCTATGCATTAGTCTCATCACTAGGCTAAGCATAAGTTTAAGCTTAACCATACTCATGATTTGACTTAGAATTACATTGATACACATCAAGCAAATGATAATCTAAGCACATGCGCGTAGTGGCGCTCGTTATCAGCAAAAGTGCGAAGTAATCTTCCAAATGACATAAAATTTCACATGTAGCATGTCTCTCCTTTAAATAACTTTCCAGGAAATAGGTTGCATTCTTATCGAAAGATGATTTTATGAAATTTCAGTGCTGAAGCAAGCCGTAAGAAGAAGAAACGACAGCAAGCAGACCCGCAACTCGCTGCAAAATGTATATTGTGTTCGGCATTCATTATGTTTCGTCAAATCGACTTTTGATTATTTTTATGGACGGAAATTTGACGAAAAGTGATCAGTAGAAATGATTAGGTCCAATAATATTAATCAGAACTAGAGAAGTTGTATGAATGAGGACTGAGGATAATAGAGAGCAAAGTATTCCTCACAATTAAAAAATTCAATTAGATTCTCAGAATGTAAATTTTTTGTTTCGTTCAGCCCTAAGCGAATTCAACTACAAGGCAGCGCAATCGTCAGCGAACGCCGCCAACTTCGGTACAATGGCAAAGATCGTTGATTATATGAAGGTTGGCCGACGCTTCCATGCTAATTTTCATTTGCTAACGATTGATTTTCCTGCAGTCGGTTGATAAACACAATCAGCTTTATGTTCCAGAAGCGTCACCTGACCGCTCAACAATGGCCACTGAGTTTATCGGAGATTCTGGAAGAGTTACAAGTGTACGATCTGAGCAAAAAATCTGAAGCATGGTTACAACAGGTGATATTTATGTTTTGAATTATTTGAATATGTTTTGATTATTTCAACATTTGATATCTATGTCTTTCATCTGTCACAACAAATAGAGAATGATTTTAATATCTTCTCAGTTCGTTTCGACAGGATTCCGAATGAATTTCACGTTTTCGAATGTTATCGAAGAGATTTTCATGTTGTACATCTTCAGGCACTTCCGTCGAATCCACGT